GAGAGACGACATAGACGAGACTCGAGAGTGAAGGGGATGAAGGGGATTTCTGGGCACTGTAGAAGGGTTGCGTTGGTGTTGGTCTGAAGGGGATTTCCGATTTGGGCATTTGGCCCATTTGGGATTTGGATTGGGCTTTATAATTAAAAGTGAGCCTAGTATGGGTTGGGCCGAAATTACCGACGGTAAATTACCGTTTAAATACGGTAATTTTTGAAAACGATTAGAAAAGGGCTAAACCGTTTTCGTTTTTATTTTCGAATTTTTTTACCGTTTCCATTTCCATTTTTTCGGTTACCGTTTCCGTTTCTGTTTAGCCTCCAAATCTAAAAAAATTTCGAAAACGATTCCCGATAATCGTAAATTACCATTTCCATTTTCATCCCTATCTAAAACAATGAAATCTAGCCATTTTAGAGGTTAAAAGTACACTTTTACCCTTATTAATGTTTACTTACCAAATATTAAAAAAAAAAAAACAAAAAGATTAATGTTCACAATGCGCACGCCATTGCCTTCCTTCTTCTTTATTGTTCTCTCTTCTCCATTGTTCCTCCCTCTTGTTGCGCATCTTAAAAAAAATCTCATCTTCCCAAAATTCACTTAAAAGTGATCTCTTTTCAAATATCATCTCCAACACCACCAAAAGAATTCCGTTTTGAGAAGAAAAAAAGTACATTAACATAAACTTAATTGTTTTTTTTTTTGTATTATGTTAAATAAAAATTTTGTTTTGTTGAACATTGTTATTTTAGTTCCCAAAAATATTTGATTTGTCTAGTATCATTATGTTTTGTTTAACACATATTTTTTTGGAGTTAAAAAAATGGAGTTCTCGTGCTTCCAAAAAAGGGGTTGTGTTTTGGAGTTCATGACTTATAGTGTACCGTTCATTAAGCCGTTATTCGGAGTTTTAGGAGCTCAATTAACCATTTGTTGAAGAATAAACAATTTCTTGAACAAAAAAAAAAAGTTTTTTGTTCGATAAACAAGTTTCTTGAGCAAGAAACAGGTTTCTTGACCGCGATACAGGTTTCTTGCTCAAGAAACAGATTTCGTGTTCAAGAAACATTTCTTAAGCAAGATGCTCAAGAAGAGAGATACAAGTTTCTTGCTCAAGAAATAGGTTTCTCTTTCAAGAAACATGTTTATCGAACAAGAAACTAATTTTTGTTAAAAAAATTGTTTATTTTTGTTCACGAAACAAAATATTCTTTTTTATTTATTTATTTTTTTTCAGATGGACGTTGGTAAAGTGCGAATTGTTCATGTGTACAAAAATGGTGAGAAAAAGATGAAATTTTTCTGTCTTAGGATCTTATCATATGAAACTTTCATAAATAGAGTTCATTGCATTGTTCGTGGAGATAGAAACATGTGCGACAACCGATTTTACTTTTTAGATCTCTTGTGAATCAAATCTGCGAAATGTATCTGTCATGTTCACAATACCTAGTATCCTTTGTGTTTTTCTGGTTGCTATCTAATATCATATATATAACATAACACTATATTGGTCCCATATATCATTTTAATAGTATTATTACATGTCAACTTTGATACAACATAATTTTAATACTTAATTAATGACATTCACAAGTATAAACCTTCT